AATAGATCAAATTGATAAATTTTAATAATGTAATGAAAAATATAAAATGACAATAATATTAAAAAAACTGACCATTCAGTTAGAAATAATTTACTAAATTCATACTCTATTAGTATCAATCCAATATGCCACGCCTAACAAGCCATCAAAAAAAATCAAGAAAGGCTTATGAAGCAAAAGCATATAAGCTTAATACTAATGTAAATAATTTTGAAGCAGAAAGTTCTGATGATATTGACAGTTTTTCTGCTTGTGACGAGGTAGTTGATAATAATGATGCTGTGAACATCATGAAGAGGCTTCAAGTAGTAACTAAAAAATATAGCCATAATGATGATAAAGTTGAGCTAGAAGATTATGATAGTGATGATGGCCTTCCTGCTCATAATGAGCTAATTGAGAATGATGATGCCAAAAATATTGTAAAAAAACTTCAAGATGCTGCAAATAAATATTACCGGGAATGTTATTCTAACCAAACCCGTAGACTATGTTATTTAGGAAACTCAGTTCGCACTAAAAGAAGAAAAAAACAGCAACAACGTGAGGCAGCAAAAGGAACCTCTACATTACATACTTTCTGGGCCCAAAAAAAATCTTCTGAAGAAACTAGTGAAGCAGAATTGTATAATGATGTTGATGAACAGTTAGAGAATAAAAGATAGTTAGAAGAATTTGATGATGAACAGTTGGCGAATGAAGGATAGTTGGAAGAAGTTGATAAGAATGATATTGGAGGAATGTTGGAGAATAAGATTGAACCCCATAATTGGAATAAAAAAATCTCAACTGCCCTTGAAAACTTAACATTAGATATCAAAAAAGAAAATGTAAAAAGTGAAGTTTGGGTGCGTCTTAATAGCATCTGTTTTTATCTCCAGCTTGTAAAAAGCAACCACCAAAAAATAAAAGCAAGTAAAATAATTGCTGATGCTGCGGGAAAAGGGGTATACCATGCTAAATGCATTCGTTCCTGGGCACATGATTATGTTATGACACGCCAGATTCCCTACTCTCGCCGAGGACACCATGCCAAAACATGGAGCTTTCTCTGGGATGAAGATATTCTTCTTCAAATAAAATCATATGTTCGAGAAAATAAGTGGATATTACACTACAGGTGATCATGTTACAAATAAATGAGATCATTTTACCAGGGCTAGGATTTGCTCCTCCTTCAACCATCTCTCTTAGTACTGCAAAAAATTATTTAAAAGAGCTTGGATATACATATGAAAGGGTAAAAAAAGTGCTTATGTAGACGGACACGAGAGAGAAGATGTGGTAGCCTATCGGAGTATATTTTTGAAATGAATGAGTGAATTTGAGCATAGAATGCCTATATTTTCAGGTGATAATATGGAAGTAGAGACTTGGCCAGACAGCAATATAAAGCCACTTATTCTTGTTACATATGATAAATGCATTTTTTCGGCTTATGATGGAAGTCGAAGTCTTTGGATTCCTTATAGTGAACAACCTTTACAAAAAAAGGGGGAGGGTTATTCAATTCATGTTAGCGAGTTCTTAACTGATATTTGTGGTCGACTTGTGCTTCCTGATGAAATGCAACCGTCAGATAAGTTTCCTAGAGAAGCTTGTGTTATTACATACCCTGGCAAAAATAACGATAGATAGTGGAAGGCTGAGGATTTGATTAATCAAGTAACTAACTATGCCATTCCCATATTTGAAGCATGCTTTCCAGGTAGTGTTACAAGTTGGCAAATTTTTATTTTTTTAGTCAACAATTAGTTGGCAACTAATTGATTGAATTTTTTAGATACTAACTAATCGATTAATCGATTAGTTAGTATCTAAAAAATTCAATCGATTAGTTGTTAACTAATCAACTAATCATTTTTTCGACTTCCAATTTGTAACACTAATTTTCAGGCTGCCAAGCCTTGTTTGCATTTGACAACGCAACAAGTCATTCTGCTTTTTCACGTGATGCACTTATTGCTAACCATATGAACCTTGGCCCTGCTGGAAAACAAGAGAAATTATGCAGCATATCATACTTTCGTAAGGGAAGAAAATATGACCAAAATATGGTCTTTCTATCAGACTATCATATCCCTGAATTACGTGGTGAAGCTAAAGGATTAAAAGAAGTTCTAAAGAAAAGAGGGTTGTGGCCAGAAGAAGGATTAAGGTTAAAAGAAGCACGAGAATTAATAAGTTAACAACCAGACTTTCTAGCCCAAAAAGGACAGTTGGAAGAAATCATCGTTGCGGCTGGGCATCAAATTATTTTCTATCCCAAATTCCACTGCGAACTAAATTACATTGAGACCTTTTGGGGTGTGGCAAAAAAATATAGCTGATCACATTGCAATTATTCATGGAAAGGACTGCAAAAACTGTTTCATTAGCTCTTAATTCTGTTCCACTCCCAACTATTCGTCAATATGCAAGAAAAGCATTTCACTATATGGACGCATATCGAAAAGGCTTAAATGGTAAAGCAGCTGAATTTGCTGTTAAAAAATACCATTCGCACCACCGAATTCCTGATTCAGTTTTAAATTCAATTGATTTTGATTAGTTATTTTTTTTTTCTGCAATAACATTATCCATCTTTTCAAATATCTTTTTTTTTTTGATTTTTTGAAAGATAGTTTTATTCAATCCTGGCATGGTTCTCTTGCATTATAGGTGGCACCTATTCCAAATCAATTAATTAAATATATTATATTAATTAATGGTATCACCCATAGTGCAAGAGACCCTAACGCATATTTGCTTAATAAATTTTAAAGCGTTCCAGAATAAAGTAAAAGTTTCATACATGCTTATAATTGTTACGAAACCTTAAAAGTTAATGATGCTCAAATCTTGCTTATTTAAATATTTAAGAATCAGTTTCACAAAGCTAGTGCTGCATCAATTACATATGATCGGTGCGATAATAAATTTTTTGTCTTTGTACATACGTATGTACATATGTAAAATGAAAGTGCGATTCAAATAAATAGCCCAGGCAATTGATTTGCATTTGTCAATTTATAAAAGCCTGCTTGGGCTTGTTTTAGTAAGACGGCCAATTTAGTACGTATATGTAAGGCGGCCAATTTAGTATATGTAAAGCGGCCAATTTTTCTATTTTATTAATATATGTAGGGCAGCCAAATTTCTTGTTTAATTATAAAATTGTTCTAATTTTTATCTTCTACTATTTTTTAAAAAATAATTTTATAAGAATTCTAGGAACATGAAGTTGTTTAATTTAACTAATATTATTATCCTGAGATGAGATTTGGTGTTTATAGATTTTTTTAAAGAAGGATTAGCAATTTAAATTTTATCCAATTTATTGGTCGGGACTAGGTTGTCTGTGCTGTATACAAAATTACAATATATCCAACTTACCCTCTCTGACATCAATATTGTCTAATCTCTTATAAATTAATTGATTTAATTAAAGATATTATTTTATTTACTAAAACTGCTACTATACTTTTAATTAAATTTCTGCTTTACCTTAATTAACAAATTTATACTTAAATCTAAATACTATACTGTACTTCTAGGCCTCAATTTAGTAAACAATCTCAACTAATTTCAACTAATTTTAATATCTTATATTTCTTAAAACTTACTAACTTAACATGCATTACACTTAATTACTAGTTCTAAAATTAAACTATAATATTCTAAATAGATTAAATATTAAATGAATCTTCTCATTATAATTACAAATTCTGAAATCTAGATGAGTCCTAATTGCTCTGGTAGACTTAGATTGCAGATAACTTGTCTAAGTCTTTAATCTTAATATCTTATAGATATAGAATTCAAATATAAATTTTTTTTATATATTCTACTTGTAAAAAGTTTAACTAAGTTTTAATAAAGTTAAAGGCATAGCCTCACTTTTAATATTAAAAAAAAAAATTAATTTATGTTTAAATATATTAGAATTTAAAGAAATTAATTATATTAAAATCAGATTTACAAAACTTAAGTTATATTATTTTTCTGAACAGTAATAGTACTAAAAATAATAAGTAATAAGTTATTTTTTCATTTTTAAATCAGATTCAATCTATTATTTATTAAGCAATTAGATTACAATTTTGATTTGTTTTTGATTTTGTTAAATTAATATTACAAGTTGAGGAGCTATTATTAATAAAATTATTTTATTTTAAATAAGTTATTATGTATATTTTTATTGTAAAGATATGAAGTAAATTATTATAATTTAACTTATAAAAATAAGAAAAATAAAGTAATATTAGAAGAAAACATGACTTTAATCTTAAATGCATGCATATATACAAATAAGATATCTATATAAACTTATATAAACTATATTAAATTGGTTACATTTTATTCATTATATATCAAGTAAATATTGCATCCTTTTTAGTATCATTCAAGATGTTACACAAAGTCACAAGAATTGATTATCCAATCAGATCCAATATTTCACACATCAATATTTGAATCGCATGTAAACCATACACTACATTTACATTATACAAACTCCATTCCTGATATGCATAAAGTAAACTGTTATAATGGAAAACACCATTCCGCACAACTCTAAATCATGTGAAAACAAATAAGATGGATCAATTAAAATGAAAAACAAAATAGTAAAAATACTGCAAAACAAAATCAATAATACAGGTGGAATACTGTATAATAACCAAAAAACATGACAATCAAAAGGCCATGATAAAAAATAGTAAGAATCTGTGTTCAAATCTATATCTAAGCAAGAAAGTATAAACACTTTAAAATACAAGCACTACCTATAAACCATACACTACATTGTATGCTTTACAAACTCTGCTTCTGATATAATTTTTGTTTTATTAATGGCATCAATATATAATTTAAAAGACATGCAATAAATTCTAAGGTATGTAATACTATAAATAATATCACTATAAATCACAGTGAACTAATTATTTATTTTATTAAATCACTGTAGTTGTGAAGATTTTCATTTATTGACACGTAATACAATTTATTTAATGAAAATTTTCTTGTTCCGTTTTATTAGCAAAACACTCACAAAGGCAAATGAATTTTTAAGATGTGAATGACAATAAACTTGCATAATAGTTATAAATTGAAAGATATATATTTTTCAAACCGTGTTCAATTTTAATTTAATTCAAATATTAAGCCACTACATTCTTTTTCTTATAAATACGACCTGAATTAGATTTAAAAATTTCGAGAAGCGGTGCCAAATTTAGAACGTAACGCATTAGTACGTTACGCACGTTACGTTCATAAAATGCTACGTATATCAAAACGTTTTCTAAGTTTATTTCCTTTTTCGGTTAAATAGGCAATGTGGCGGCTCACGAGGATACACGAATTCACTACCGAAAATTAAAATATTTCGGAAGAACAAATTGGAAAACCCATAAAAACAAACCAAAATTATATTAAGGTTAAAATAAAATACGACATATAAAATTATTAAACTGTAATAAATAAAATTTTTAAACTGTAATAAATAAAAATTTTTCGTTTTAAATATTTTAAATTGCAAATATAACAGCTATCGATTCAACTAGCAACTCAATTAAACATGATTAAAAATTCAAGTGAAATGAATTATATAAATGAACACAAGAACTTGAATATGTAATATATAAATATTAATCATCGTCATTATCAGGCTTCATATTAAGATCCAACTCATTGACATAATTATATCCGCTTGCAGATGGAATAAATATATTTGTGGTAAGTCGATCGAGCGATTTAATCTTATCCAAGACTTCTTCTTGGTAAGAAGGTTGTTCTTGATTGCGAATAGCAATCAAATACGCAGCATGAATCTTTAAACTTTCGATCACAAATATTTTAAGTGATTTGAATGAAATAGATTTCTTAAATTCGGAATAGTTGGTGGCATCTAGAAATCTATTGAGTTTTTGTTTCCAAACAATATCCCCAACAAAGTTTTTAATATCTTCATCAGTTGGATCTCTATAATCAAAAAAAAGGCTAATTAATAATAATATAATAAATAACATAATACATATTAAATAAAAATACATACGAATTTTTTAATAGCAAAGAATTAGCTAAAGATGCTATATCTCTATTATAACGACTACGATAGTTATAAAAGGTTTCTCGTGCTTTCCTTTTCAATTCTATTAATTCTTTAGGTGAAGGTTCCAGCGGAGATGTAACTCTCTCGACAAGTATATCACGTACTTTAGAAATAGGATTTCGTGTTCGTAAAAATAAGATCTTACATTGTTCCACAGTTAGGTCCGTCATAGCATCCTAACAAATATAAATAATTAAAATGACTTAATAATAAAATTTCGAACAATAATAATAATAATAATACACTATATTAAAAAAAAAAAAAAATACAAATGATCCTTGAGCTTGAAAAACCAAATCTTGTCGTGTACGCAACCATTCAACGAGTGCAGCTTGATTAGAGAAGATTAACTCTTTCTCGTTTTGTTGAATATTAGTATTCTTACTATGATTAACTGAAGAGTGATGCACTTGCGTTTGTTGAGATTGTAGATTTAAATCTTCATTATTATTTTGTGAATTACTAGTGGTGTTATGTTGATCATGATAATTTGGAATATAATTTGCAGAAAATGGTACGCGAAGAGGGTTTGCAGAACATGGTACGCAAAGAGGATTCGCAGAATATGGTACGCAATGGGGGTTTGCAGAATATGGTATGCAATGAGGGTTAGCTATCAAATAAGTCTTTGCTGAGAATAGTGAATCATTCTTATACGATGTATTGTTCAAATGTAAGGACCGGTTGTGTTTTAGGGATTCGTTTGATGAATCAATAAATGGATCGATTGGAGGTCCAATTTCATGTTCATTTACGTAAGGCAAGTCTAAAAAATAATACATTTGCTGATTAAGATTAGAAAGTGGTATGTTATTGACATTATCTACATGGGCCGTTGTTTGCTTTTGATGTTGAGATTGAATTTGTTTGTTTTCTGGTTTATTATTTATTTTATCGTTTGATGTTGGTTGCTGAATTGCTTCTTTAGATGTAAGGTGTATGTTATTGTCTTGTATATAATCTACGTCAATGATATTATCGGATGCAAGTGAATCACGAGCAGATTCCTTCGATACATCTAAATATAATAATGTTTTATAATTTATTCCTCAAAAAAGTAAATATATATATATCGACTAAATTAATAATTACTATTATTCTTATTCTTCGCCTTTCTTTGGCGCTTTTTAGGCATCTTTTGTTCAGATAATTTTGTCTTAAGAGGTTCCGTTAATTCTGCGTCCTTGTTTTCTGTTATTATTCAACATAAATATTAAAAAAAAGTTTCCATGATTTGAATTAATAAAAACTACTTACCCATAACCTTTTTGTTTTTTACTCTTCGAGTATTTGGTTTCCTCACCCCTTTGGCAGTAGTTTTTGGCATTTCGATTTTAAAAATAGTAATATTCGAATTTTAATCTAATTAATGTCTTTACGCAAGTTGTATAAGTTAATTCGAAATTTTAAAGCTGTCTTCGCTATAGCTTCGTATTTTATAAACTAATTATTTAAATGATTATTGATTGATAAATTATATTTAAACAAACTTGTTTGCGTCACTTATTTATGTCCTATCCTATATAAAAAATTATGTCAAACCGGTTTATAAAATAAAGCTATGGAATTAAAAAAAAATCTAAATAAATAAACAATGCGTCATCATAATATCTGTATGTGCATGAAATTGATTTAGAGATCTGATTCCGAAGATGAATTCGATTTTGATTAAATAATCGATTGTAATTACCGAATTTGAATTTTTTTTAAAGATTTAATGTTACTGTTTATATCGATCAATTTGTTTTGACCCCAAAAATAATTGAGGATTATCAAAAAATTTTTGCATATATGGTTCATTCGATTAAACAAAGATTATCGTTAGTTTTTCGGCTAGATAGCTGTGCGACATCGTCGCGTAAAACGTGGAACGGAAATTTATAAAAATTAGGCTAAGGTTAATACAGGTTTTATAATCAATTATTATAAAAAAATTTAGGACCGACTGTGACGTAGACACAGGAGGGATATTATCGTGAGGATCACATGATCCATGATCATTAGGGTTATGAGGTAGTGAGTCAAATGGTGTGAATTATTAGATCATTGGTCTAAGGAGTCAAAGGGAAATTGCATGAATTACTAGGTCACTGATTTACGAGTCTAATGATAAGTATATATAAACCATAAATTTAAGAATGAAATTTGTGCTTTTCTTTCGCTGCTTTTCAAAATTGCCCGAAACCTTATTTTCCGGCTAATCGAAAGGCTCTTCCCTCCCAGCTCTCCCTCAAAGAAAAAGAAATAGGAAACTAACAACCGATCCTTGCAATTACAGCATATCGATACTATTTAACGCTGTGAAATCACAACGAAATTGGGTAATTAAGAGAAAAGAGGCAGTTGTACGCCGACAGAACAGAAATGGCTGTACATTCTTTACACCATTCGCGTATTGACAGCTATGTACACCCCATACTGTTTGAATAAATTAGAACGAACAGCTGTGAACACCTCACACAGTTACGATTAAGATGGGATGAACAGCTGTGTACACCCCACACTGTTATTAAATAGGCAGGACGACTGGGTACAACCCACACTGTGTTAAACTGACGAGAAAGAGATTAGAGATAAATTAGAGACAAATAGAAGGTGTCAAAGTAACCATGTTATTAGCAGCACCATTCTCATAGTTTTCTATATAATGTATCTTTGAATTAATTGAATTAAGAAATTTAATATTGAATATGATATAGTTTTGCAATGGTAATCCGAGCGAAAATAATAAATTGTTTTTTTTTAAACAAATCAATTAGCATGCTAAGAATTAATAATTACCAAGACCATATCGTCTTTAGTAATTTCTTCAGATGCTGGGTCAAATGATATAAAGTTCTAGTGTTACTCTTATCCTTATTAAATGTTATGTCACAATGCATAGATAATGTTTTTTGTATCGTTTGCGTAAAAAGTGCTGAGCATGTTAAAAAGGTTATTAAAAAGTATTATGGTAGTTTGAACAGGTTTTGATGTGGTTTTCAAACATCAAATAAACAGAAAGAAGGGGTATCTGCAAGTCACATCGGACTAATATGTAGGAATCACAGAATTAAAGTATTAAGGGGATATAGGCATCAATTTTATCAGTGAATATTTTATTATATAAATAGGAGATGTTTTCACCACTTTGTAGAAATGCTTTATATAACCTATAAAGGACATTCATTATATTCGATTCAAAACTTGACCGCAATCACTAAGTATATAAAATCCACTCGATTGTTTATATACTGACGATTATATTAAGATAGCTGCGCAACGTAGTTGCACGAAACCAGGAATGGAGTTATTGCATTTTTGCCATAACATCTCATTGCGGAGAATTTATGAAGTTAGAGCACTTCAACTCACTACGAATTGCGTCATTTGCTATTATAATAGCAACCCGAAAATGTGTACCAGGTTGCTTCTCCGGTGATCATGTGATAGTCCGGCATGAATATCCGGAAATTTTATTTAGCACATAGCGATAGTTAATTTTACATATTTCTTTTTCATTGATTATGTACTTCGCGCAAATATTACAACACATGACGTTTAAAAACCTTCACATTATTGTCAATTTTGTTTTCTTGTGTTAATGTTTTTTTCAATAAGTTATACATTGCTTTTTTTTGAAAGTATTTTTATGTTTTCATTATAGTCTGGTTAACATTTTACACTTTCTTCATTTGTTGTACTCGAATTTTTGCTCCATTTCGTAGTAATTCAGCCTTTATGGTAGAATTTCGTTGATAGAGATAAGCAGCTAGTTTTCCTGATAATAAAGATTCAGCTTTTTTCGTCTGCATAGGTTTGCGTTATTATTATCATTATTATTGTTTTTTTTTTTTTTGACGAAGTGAAATATGAAGCGAAATATGAAGCAAGTTATAAATGAAATATGAAGTGAATTAATAAAAGAAATAATTCACTTTTACGTTTACGATAATTACTATTTAGTATTGTTTATTTAAATAATCGATGATATCATTAATGATCGTTTAGATTGATTTCCGGACAATCACGTGATCATCCGGAGCACAACCTGGTGCACATTTTCGATTTGCATTATAATATATATTGATACGGGCAACAGGGTCGGGAGCGGCACTATAGGGACAAGAAGGAATGTGACGAATTGTCATTTCGAATTCGTCGATGTCACATAACATCGCTCAAGGCAGGTGAGGCAGATTCGATTTGGCACTGGTCTAAGATGGTTTTGAGAATATTACTAGGGATGGTTAAAAGGAGTGTAGATTTTTAATTTAATTGTTTTATTTAAAATTAACAACTAGACTTTATTAATTAATAATTTTATTTATTTATAGGGCAGGTTATAAGTTAAAGATGATTCAGGTTACAAGAAGATGAGAATATTCTTTTGGAGATGATTCTCTCTATTCTGCTATAGGATGAAGAAGTTCTATTTTTATAGAGAATTCTTAAGGGAAAGAATGGAACTTGGGACATAGATATGACACTCTTTTTCTCATTGTTATAAATCATTTTTTCCTTTTTACTAACATTCTTTCCTTTTTCCTACAATTTATTCATCATTAGTTTAGCATTTTTTTATTGAACTTTTAACATTTCCATAATAGCACACAACTCAATATATGATGATATATTGACATGATTACAGACTTTACCTGTCAAGATAATATTATCTTGACAGTTGGATTCCAAATTAGGCAGGTAGTTTTTTCTTCAATAGATTAGCATCATTACTTAATAAAGAGTTTGATTTGTCTTAGATCATAGGTATCATGATACAATGGTTTTTATGAAGCATTTTGGGGTCATTACATATTTTATTCCTCATAGTTCTATGGTCAGATTTGCTTTTAATAATATATATATTGACATTTCTTATTATAAAACTATTTAGATAATGTTTAATCCATCTTTCTATAAAAAAGATGGGTTAGATATTACCTATATAATTTTACAATAAGAAATATCAAAAAAACAGATAGATAAATATATAGCAAAACTATAGTCCTGTTTCGATAATTTGAATATGATTGTAATATAATAATTAATTGTTTATATATAATAATCAATTAGAATTCAAATATAAAATTTCAATGCACAATAAAAAAGTTATATTCAATTCATTAACTCATTATTTCTTCTGTAAATTTATTTTATTAAAATTCTTATATATATATCTTAAAACCTGTTTATAAATGTTAGATACAAAGTTACAAGTCAATATGATTTTTATAAACTTTAATAATGTTCATTTAGTCTTAGACAATTATTCTGTTAAATTCTAAGAATGAATAAACTAAGTAAACTGTTATTCAGTTAAATTCTAAGTTAAGAATATACAAACTAAGTAAGTTATTGATTGTTTGTTTTATGAATAAAATCAGGTTATGCCTTTTTATTATTTTAGCTAACAAGCTTAAAGATAATCCAACCTGTCAACTTTTATAAATACATTCAATGCACGAGATATAGTAATACTTTGATCTTGTGATATTGAAATTGTGTTCATTCTAAACTAAGACATTATATATAATAGTTTAGAGAAATAAACAAATCAAGTCATACAAAACTAATGTTTTATTTGCATTATATAGATTTTATAAATCTGTTCAGCCAATTAGATTTTTTTCTTTTTTTTTTTTACAGTCAAACTTTTTATAATTATACTTTTAATTTTAAGAATTTTGTACCTATATAAAGATTAAATTTTATATACATTATATGAATTAGTTATAAAAGTTTATGATTATAGCAAATTATATTATAGAAAAAATGATTATAGAAAGATCTTACTGTAATTCTAAATAATAAAAGATAATTTGAAAATATTTATTTAATCATATTAGCAATTTTGATGATATTATTTTAGTTCTTTATTTGTAAATTTTTATAAAATATATATATTATAAACATATTTGTTCTGTATACTTACTAAAATAATTAAGGATGCATTTCATTATGGGTCAAAATTAGAAATATTAAAAAGTTTATTTGGTCTAATTTTAGTCTAGTTCTTAAAAACTTTAGTTCTGAACTAGTTAGGAACTAGTTCATAATGCTTACCTAAAATCAGTCTAGTCTTGGTAGTTTAATATATAATACATAATACTAATACAATAATATTGCTGATAATTTTATACATTTTATTTTATTTTTTATTATAAAATTTTTTTTAAAAAAATCATGTTTAAGAAACTAAACTTTTATTTAAAAATACTTCAAATTATTTTTAGTTATTCCTGAATTATACCATGTTTTTAAACACATACTTGTACATGTTTTTTATTATCTAAGTAGTTTCATATAGACTTAAAATATATTTAGCAACTGAGAATATCTTTTCAT